ATAAAAGCACTGACTATTATTTTGCCGTTCTCAACCCCATATCTTTGTGAACAAGGGTTTTCAGCGCTTGCGAATATAAAAAATAAAAAACGAGAAAAACTAAATTCAGTGGCGGAAGAAATGCGGGTATGTCTGTCAACTATTCGTCCGAGAATTAAAAATATTTGTAACACCCATCAGGCACACATTTCTCATAAAATGTACTTATGTATAAACTACATTTTTTTTTGTAAATAAATTTAATAACTAATTGATTATTAATACAATTTAATTAGAATTAATAAATATTTGTTAGTCCATTAATCACACATTTCTAATTAAATGTATTTACAATTACAATTAATTCAAAACATCATCTGAAATGTTCATTGTTCATTGCATCATTGTTCATCTGAAAAAAAGGTCAGTGTGCCATGAAAATTTTTTGAAGTGTATGGTGTGCTGTGTATAATAAAAGTTTGAAAATGACTGATATATATATATATATACAATCATTTGAATTGAGTTTTAATCCGTTTTCACCAATTATATCTTGTTGATATCTATCTTATATATCTTCCGTAGCGGCATACATTTTTGTTTTGTTTTTTAGGTATTACTTTATTTATTTATTTTATTTTCCCATATTCTTAGAACCATTTGGTTCCATAAAATTAGTATACCCGTCCATGTCGCCTTCTGCAGGCCAACACTCAAAGGATAGGGAAGAAAAATAACATCTCTCCCTCAAAGAAAAGTTAAAACAGTCTAGTAGACCCAGGATGGCTCAAAGTAATCCCCCAAGTGTTCCTAAAGCCCCTGTCGATTACAATTTCCCTGATCTTCTCGTCCCACTTCCCACAACTAAAGTGGATAAGTCCCCTACAGTAACCTTACTCGATCTGATGACCATAATGAAAGCCAGTGTGGAAGAAAATAGGGAGACCCAAAACAAATTAAGTTCCATTCTGGAGGAAGTGAAAGGCTGCTTAAGGGCACAATTAAACTCTGTAAAAAAATAAACTGACCAAGCTATTAATCGCATCCATTCTTTAGAGACAACTCAACAATCAGTTACTGTAGAAATTGATGAAATTAAAACTGCAGTCGACAATATACAAAATACTTCCATTTCTATTTCAACTTTCCAACCACCCATGAATTCCACAAATTTGTTAAACCCCCAATCCATTCTGTTAAATTCCCTCACTCAGACAGAGAGACTAAGTGATGCCAGTTCACTGGTAATAAATCTGATCTCCACCCGGAGAAATTCTTGCAAGAATTAAATTAATATTTCGCCCATCAAGTTATAGATGATACCCAGAAGATAGGTATTTTTGCTATATGCACTTGCAAGAACATGGTTCGATTCATTAGTACCCTGTCCCAATACCTATATAGAATTAGTCAATCTTTTCCAATAACAATTTTGGTCCATGTCCACCCACAGATGTATACTTCACGAGTTGTTCTTTCCATATCAATATAAATCCCCTAGAGGATTAGCTAACCATGTTATGGCTTGGGTTGCCAAAGCAAAATATTTATCTCTGTAAATTCATATGATCTTATAGGGATCATCACCCAACACTTTCTCACTGCTTTAGGTATAGCTATTTGTGGCAGAGATCTAAAGACCACTAATGAACTTATCACTATACTAACCGAGATAGAAGAATCCACATCTTTTTGCGAAAATGTTTCTTCACAACCCCCTCATCATTTCAGTCTCAACTGACATTTTCCCCCAGAGCTAGAAATAATAACCATAATAATTAACATTATGTATCAAACAATCCCCATACAAAACCAGTTCACAGTCTCCAGGATAATCAAAACCATGATAGTTATACTGGTAACAATAATTATAGACGCTCTAGTCAGTATTAGCGAAATCCTCCAGGAACCATTCTAATTCTGCACTCAACACTCCAGTATCCATAAATAATAATTTCCTAGAAACAAGCAACGATTCTCATTTCATTCATCAACTGAATGCCTCAGGAAACATCGCAGAGGCCCACATATGGATATACTGCATGGCGGTGCCTTTTAAATCCTCAATCGGCGTACCCTAATTCACTGTTTTTCCCCTTCACAAACTCCCTCTGAACCCATATCTGTTTAACCTATTGTCATCACACCAATCACTACTTGACCTGGTCTTGAAGTTAATGTTTTTCAACATCCAATTCAAACTAGTTGACACTGGTGCTTCTGTCTACTGTTTCAGAGCAATTTTTTAAAGTTATACAAACTTAAGTCCTTGAAGGGCAAACCCTGTCCACACTGCCTGCGTCAGGTGTAACAATTACTACTGTGGTGGAAGGTAGAAGTCATAAAATGATATAACCAGTTTTAATTCCTTTTACTGTCCCTCGCCATAAGTGTGATTACATTTGTCTTGTAGTTTCAAACTTAAAGGCCCTGATGATTTTAAGCAATGATTGGTTATCACAGCAAGGAGTAGATAAACAATATTCCATTTGTATATTTTATTTCCCAATGTGGAATATTCAAGTTCGTAGATAGTAGCTTATGTCCAGTAGGGACAACCTACCCTGAACTTACTATTCAGGAGATGTCCGAAGAGTCTAAGGAACCAACCTAGCACAATTCAACTGTTGTTGAGTATCCATTTCCCATAGTCATTTATCCCTCTGTAGAGATAACCACTATGCAAACCCACCACAGAGTATGTACTCATAGAAAATATTATAAATAGTCTGAATTTAATTTCCACCATTAATAAGTCACAGTTTGACCAAGTTATATCTCCCTGTTTCTCAAATAACAGCATATTTTCCGTACTCATCCAGGTTTAAATTTCTTGTGTACATGTAGATTTAGTGTCTTTGATACTACCCCTTTCAAGGTAAACCCTTATCCAATATCATTTTCACATCATTTAGATCTGGAGATCGCATGCATGATCAATTGGAATATTATAGAAAGATGTTCTTTTCCTTGATGGATCCAATTTATTTTTATTTAATAATTATTAACTTAATAAATAATTCTCCCTAAAATACCATGTGTTTATTTATTTTAGCTTAAAGCAAGTTTCCCTTTTCTTCCGTATGACCCGAATGAATCCAATGTTCACTAAATACATCTTCAAAAATCCTAGGACTCCAGTTTTCAAGCCTTGGTTCTAGGTTGGCGACCCTGCTCCTAGACGGGTAATCAACTGGACGCTCAAAAGGGTCCTCTAAACAAGGCTGGCCGAACCATATTGGCTCAAATTGTATTGTTTTACTACATATTTTGTACAATATATCAGCAGTCTTCTAAGATAATTTAAGCTGAAATGACATCATACATAAAGGTTTTGAGTATTTGTAAACCAAAGCAATGGAATTTAAGAATAAAATCTGTTCGGCCCCCCCCCCCCATGGAATTGACCTGAAAATGCCCCTATGCAATGCTATTAACCAAGCTCCACTCAGAATTTTTTTGGTTGGAAATGTTTAAATTTTCTTTGGTACAGATATTTCCCTTAATATTCTATCTTTCCAACTTCTCATCTGTAATAGTGGGCTATCATTAATATTAAAATATTAAATTAAGTTACTTCTTCCCCCCCTCTCTATAGTGAAGGTCTGGAGACGCCCCTGTTATAACTAATTTGTTGTTGATCTGTCCATACTGCAGGTGTTGCCAAACATTTTGTTTGATGTTTCTTCAAATACAGTCTGTTTAGTGAACATTTGAATATTTTACACGCACAAACAAGGGAAAACATTATCAATGAACATGTTCGCAACAATGTTCGTCTTAGTGTATACCCAGCTGGTAATGTGACATTTCTATATGGACTAGATATAATATTGTGTATACGATTGTATTACATGAAACTTGCATACAAATTATGGTAACGAGCTGTGTGCAAGCTAAAAATCTTATCAATACATATTTACCTATATACCTGATTGGTAATACTTATATTTAGTATTCAAATCCTGAAATATTTGAAATATTCCGCAAAAACATGAAGTATTGAATATCATTTTTATTACCTTATATGGACTTTGTTTTCGACTATTTTATTTATATCTAACTAGAAACGTTGTTTTTCACATGAAAACAAGGTTATCATTATCTTATGGTTGACATTGGTGCACAGCGGTTCAAAATTGAAAAAAAGCTGACCAAAAGTAATTTTTAAAATTTTCGAAAAATTGCAAACTATTGTATAAATAAAAATACTTTCTATAACCATTGAAGTATTCAAAAATGTATAACTTAATCAAAAAAATAACTTTTAACTTTTCAAATTTATGTTTGAAGAAAAAATACAATTTTTTTTACCTATAAAATGTTTGTAGTTTCGGTAATACTTTAAGTTTTTGTACGCTATGAAATATAGAAATAAAATTGACATCGGGTTTTTTTTTATTTTCGATGTAAAGATTAATAGAGAATTTATTATCATTGTTATAGAAATATTATATAATAATATATCTGCACTATTAGTAATTGTAGTGATAACAAATTAATATTTATTAAAGCTTCAGTTATATGTTTAATAACGTACAGTTTTAACCAGTTCTTTCACTGACCTACACACCAGTATATATATTTCAAATATGTATTTATAAGGTGTATAGAGTGGGTAAATGTTTGCATTAGCTGCCCATATTCACCCTTTGGAAAATTGTAATACCATTTTGAGTTTTGGTCACCTTTTTTTCAATTTTGAACCACTGCACAGTGGTCTGATGATTTATACTACTATAACTATTATTATTATTATTAAATTATAATTTATAAGTATTTAGTATTGGTGACTAAAAATTTAATAGGTATCTGTTTGGCTATAGAAATATAAGTATTTTACTTATATGGGTAATATAAATATACCCATATTAAACAATCAGTAATGAACTAATGTAAGACAGTGAAAAAAAAATCATATTTTATTGAAATATTTCAAAATTTTACATTTCATGACATTTTTAAACACTACTTATATCATAGGTATAATATGACGTGTACTCATTAGAAATAGCTTCTAAATACTACTATGTTCTACAAATACTTTTCTTTGGTAATAATTCAATGGTTATTAATTTATTATTGAGGTTATCAATAAAATTATTTAGACTACGAGCACTACATCTCGCAGCCACAACTTCATCGCCACCCAAACACTTTGCTGACACCATCTCGACACCACAGTAAATTTTGAATGGAAAAATGAGATCTGTATTAAATGTATTATTGTTTTTTTTTTTTTTTACATTAAGGTATGTACACATAGAATACCTATATAGAAAATAGAATAGAGTAAAATAATTAAAATATTATCATTTATAGTAAATAATGTATTAATGGTTGTAATATTTTTACGGATAGAACAACCTCTAGATACAACTGGATACAAATATTAAAAGAAACTATTTAAACAAGAGAACTTTTATTTTCTATAATATGAAATTTTACACAGACAGCAATCATAATAATGACGTGTCTCGTATAATACATAATGGTTATCACAACATATATTAATATTATACACATATCGGTGACAACCCATTGCATTTGCATCAAGGACTTTTTCAGGCTGAAATGAAAAAAGTATTTGCTTTGGTTTTCTCAACCTCTTTGACCTCTTAATTTTTTTTTTTTTTTTTATCATTGTCACTGTTATCCTCAGTTTCTGTCTTTCTTCTCTCTGTTTACAATCACTTCCTCCTTATTTTGTATTGACATAGATTAAATTTAATATAACTACCTTGATCTATCAAAGGGGATCAGTGTTTAATGCCAACTGGTGATTTCCTATGGACTAGAAATATGCTTGAAACCTAAAGATCTCATTTTAAATAAAAATACCAATATTGGCATGCTAAATGAAAAATACGTATCTCCAACCTCGACCGAAATGGAGAATTTTGTTTCTATACTCTATTGAATATACTGAGTCTATTTAATATTTCAACTGAAGAATACGGCGGACGAAAACGCGTCCGTTTTCGAGCACGCATTCCCACTTCCAGATATCGGTACCACACTACCGCTTCATCCACTCAACCACCTATCAATCTCACCGCCGTCTATACACATGGTATGCAACACATTTTATTTTAACGTCCTTAGTTACGGAGTACACGTATTTTCTCGCGCTTAAGCTCCGTTTTAATTTGAATAAACGATACAATTGACGTTTTAAGTATCTAACGCAATTTTTCTGTGTTTCCTATTAGTTTGATTGAAACAATATATTATGTGTGTATATTACCATAGGCGCAACTTTGAGGGTGCTAAAATTATAAACACATCAAAGACTCATAGGGTCTACTCCCCACAATTCCCTTTGCATGACTTTAACAATATTTAACTACACCTTTCATTTAAAATTTTATATATACAAATTTATCGTGACTATTTTAACATTATCTTTCATACACATATGTATTGTCTGTAGGAAACCTATATATTATTTATTTCTGTTCATTAATTGATTAATTGATTCATGGATTAAATATTTAGTCGTTGCTATGAAAAACCTAATTGAGTGTTTTGGTGGTGTTAAAAATCCCCTGGCACCCTCCTAGTTGCTCCTATGTGTATTACGATGATTTATTTGACTGTAGGTATTTAGTTATTACGACTAGCTATATACACGGCAGCAATGATGACAATCACGGTGTACGATCCGTAACTATTGTTTCCGATCAATCTATTCACGTATGAGCGAACCGGCGTTCAGTTTAATAGAAAATAGCAATTTAAGGGGATGGTTTTCTATCGTTTAACGAAGTAAAATTTAAATGTTATCAAACAAAAACCATTAAAAATTGCATTTGAAAATAATGAGATATATCGTATTTTCATAAAATATTGTAATCAATTACTTAGCAAAATAAAGTTAATTAAAACACTTGGAGATACGTTATTTTAGTTTAAGACCATATTAGTTTATCGATAATTCGATATCAATTGTTTAGATTTGTAATTATTGTAATTAAATGTTGAAAACACTAAGATTTACAGTAGTAGTGTAATATTTTATTATCATGAACTTAATTATATTCTGCATGCCTCTTCTCGACCTTGTCATATTATCATTTAAAGCCCGCCAAAACAGGAGGGTATGAACCACGGTTAAAGATAATTTGTATACTTAATATGTTCATCAAAATATTAGTAACTAAATTCTTATCATACAATTAATTTATATTTATTATAAATTACGACTATTAACATAGGTAATGCCAGATGTATAAATATTTTTTATAATCGAATGGTGAAATTAATACCTAGTGATTTATATATTATATTTAAAATTACTAAAAGTAGTTGGATAAATATACTTGTAGCTATTGTCAAAATTACACATAGTCAACATCAATTTGAAGAAATATTAGAAACACATAGAAAAGGTGTAAGTAATTTATTCATAATGCAATACAATACTTACAACGGTATTTTGTCAGTTTATCTAACAAAATACTGGACTAATAATTAATATCAGTGAGAAAACTGAGACTGAATCTAAAAATTATAATATAAATTATTATTTCTATTTGTTATAAATTTACCTAAAGAGTACTTAATTTTATTTTATTCAAATAGAATATATAAAACCAAAGATAGGTATACGATTCCTAAAATTGAATTTTGAATTTACAATTTATTATTTCTTTAAAATAAATGTTTACTTCATTATAATGCAATAAATAAATGATTACATAATTTACATTACTTATGTTCACATAAATCTATATACTATTTTAATAAATTTATCACCAAGAAAATGGACATATTATATTATGGTTTAGGAGATCCTTAATGAGAAAAGTGACTCCAATATAATTATGTAGACATACTACTTTTTGGGTTAAAATAATCATTAGAAAAAATATAATGTGGACATGATACCTTTGAGCTTAGTTAATACTTCATAAAATAAAGAGTATTTCTCTTTTTAATTAGAATGGAACTGTTCAAAAAATCTCACATTTTTTAATGTAATTTAGAGCATGCCATAATGAGATTTATTGGTAAATTTAATTTGCTTTTCTCCAACAATTTAATTAACTGAGATATGTTTTTTTGGTTAACCCTTCCTACTTTCAAGACTTGTTAAATTACTGGTGGGGAAATATCTGGATCTAATATAACTAAAAACATTCCATAAATGAAAAATAAAAATATTCTGTTTTGCTATTTCTATTTGAAAAAGAGACGAAAAAATTAGTAGATAAAATAAATAATAATGTATCTAGATAGAAGGTACCTAGATTTTTTTAAACCACACAAATAATAATGTTTTATACATTATGTATACTTTATAATTTCTATGCTGATAATATAAACCACAAATTCATAATATAATTTTCTTATATTAAAATGTATAATTCTTTTTATTATTTATTAGATATTTTTACAGTTCAGAAGTGTGAAATGCATATGTTAGTAGTGTAATTTTTATTGTCTTTCTTTATGTGAAAAACATAATGTTATATTTGTGGCATTATTGTGATAATTGGATCTGGAAGAGGGAATGACTTAAAATTGGAGTACTCGCAGAATTTATATAATTTTAAGAAAATAGTGATATGATTTAACAAACATTTCATATGGTTAAAATGTTTATTGGCTCCCATTTTGTAATCCATAATGCAACATTTGATCTGGAAAAAAAAGAAAGAAATTTAAAATATGCCGTTGTAATCAAATTATACTTTGAATGAATTGGTTTTCCTTTTTTTGGCTATATTTGTAATGCTTAACCGCCCATAAACTAGTGGTTTTCCGGATACATTAGTATTAATAAATCAAGTATTAGCCATAATAATTTTTATAAATGCCGGGTACCGAGTACAGAATATGTTATTTAGTACCCAGTTAGGACTCGATGACCAAGTACCCGGTTAGGTTTAGAGTGCCTTGATAGATAGTGTGACCATTTTGTTACTAAGTATTAATTAGTAATTTTGATAATACTTTGATGATAAATTGTTGTTAATAAATTTTAAAAAATGGTAAATATGTATATAAATACTTTATCAATTATAATTTATTTGTATACCGATTTCATCAGTTATATGGCTGAGCATTAAAAATATCAACATTTACAATAAATTGTTTATATGCAAATATGAAATAAAGAAATTATAAATTAGTACATCCAGAATAAAATGTTATGACTAATATAAACAATTATTATTTGTTTAATATAATTTAACAAGGAATATTTTTTAGAAATTATATTGCCTGGTAATTTAGAACTCTGTTCTTTTTAAAATAAATATTCTATACTTTCTAGAATATAATAATGAATACCTATAACATGTTATTAATTAAGACTATATCATATAGCTTAAAAATTAATATTTGAGAAAAAAAGCGAACAATTTGAAATTTAAACTATAAAAAAACATGTAATAGCTTACAAACTAGTATACACTGAAATGTCTGTTAGCCAACTAATGACGGCCTAATCTTTTATAACTATTACTAGGTCTCTATTTAAATCTACATTTGTAATTATTATTATTATTTTATGATTTTCTTCTTTGACAGTCACATTTTTTTTGATTTTTCTATAAAAATATTGCATTATTTTTACAATTTTTTTATTATTATTTAATATGTAAACAATTATTATTTTTAATAATTTTAGTTACGTATACCTACTAATGAATCGTTAAGTTTTTCGTTATTTTTCCGAAAAATCTCTATTATTAACGACCAAGTTCTTAACTTTCTTTAACTTATTAACTTCTTATAACTCATATTTACTTAATAGAACGTTCTTTTCTTAGATAATAATTGAAACATTCTTAATTAGTATAATATTTAAAATTTGTAATTGAATAATTACACGGCAACTATAATAACATTATTTTATTAATATTTCAGGGTCAATTTTAAAAAAAAAAAATTGAAAAAATGAAAAATTCATCATATATTGGCCTGAGGTAATTACTTTTCTTTTTTATATATAGCTTATTAATTTTTACTATTTTAACTTAAATGCATGCAGCTCATATCAAAATTTGTGTCTTGATGTGTTGTTTAGTATCTGTTCCACAATCAAAAATTAAAAAAAATATGTCCAACTTTGCCATAAACTTATTCAAAATTTGCCAGTAATATAATTGAATGATGTTAAACACCATTTTAATTTAAGTTTAATATTAGATTGGTCATTGCCAGTGTTTAGAAAAAAAAAATTTGAAATTGTAACATATATTTTTAGTATGCCTTAAACCTCAGATACTAATTGTTATTTAATCCATAACTTATAGTTTTTAGTGTTTTATTTAAAAGTAGACATTTAACAATGTAAAATGTTTTTAAACAAGTAACCAAAGTGTGATTTGGCATTTTTTACCAGGTATTGCTTATGTATAAGTATAATAACCATATGTAAACATTTTAAAACTTGGCTCTACTTATATTATAATTTGGTAAATGTGTATACTATTCTACCCATTTTGCCTATGTCATAACCCATCTATATAAATTATTTATTTTTTTTATTTGATTATTCTATTATTAATTTTTCTGTTATCAACTACTATTAAAACTAATTATTTGAAAATATAATTTCATTTTATGATGTTAACTTATCTGGCGTGTGTCTTTATGATGAAATTACCTTAAAATTTAAGTAATTTTAAGTAAACTCAAACTAAAGTATAAATAACTTTTCAAAGTAAAAATATCAAATGTAAAATTTAAATAAATAAATACATAAACATTATCATGTTTTCCATGTATAGTTTGTGTTCTATCTGAATTCGGATTTTTCGGTAAACACAGTATTGATTATAAATCCCGTTTTGGTTTTACACAAAGCAAATTTTGGTTCAAATAAAGTTTTAACTTACTTAGAAGTACAATCTAAACTTTACTTATGTTTGACAGTATGTTAAGTAGAAGTTCCCTCTTGTGACAAATTGTAAATTTTCAGTAGTAAGATCATTGTTTTTAAATATATATTTAACCTTTTGACTAGATGAAACAGCATTTAGGGCTACTTAATGTTTTTGTTTTTGATATGATTTGTATATTACTATGACTTCTATTTCATATACCAAATTCACTTTTACATATTTCACAGTAGGTAATATGTATATGTATATGTAGAGATATTTTTAGTGGTTTTATAAAAGTAAACTCTTTCCTTATATTTGAATAAAATACATATTTTCTACATGATGGACACATTGTACAAAAATTTAAAACTACATTAATTTGTATTCTATTTTCATTCTATCATTCGGATCGTTTGTTAATGTTAACTGTTAGTCTATGGAGTGTGAATTGTTATTTTCAGTAATTTGATAGTAACTATCACTGATAAAACACAACTTTGATAACAAATTTAATTAACCCTTGGAGTAAAACTGTAGATTGCTCATTGGCCCGTTTAACAATGGCATAAAATAAAACAACCCATAGTTGGCGATATGATTATTATTACAACATAAATTTAAATAAATTCATTAATTATAATTTTGTTAATCGTCATAAAGGTCGACGGCGAGCGTCTACCTACTTATGACCGTGATAGGATTTTTTTAATCGTATTGATAACGAATACAACAAAAAAGCCTAATAATTATATTACATGTTAAAATTGTATAGGACCTTAATTATAGAGCTTAATAATGTCTTTACAAAATAAAAAACGTAAATTTCATATGCTTAATAATACAATTTATTTTTATAATTTATATGACTTACACATAGTTTCACGGTTGTGATTAGGATATTTTCTACGATTATCTTGAACTGTCTAGAAAAAATTTAAAAACATTAATATTAGCTTAAATCGTTATTGATAAAATATATTTACTTGTAACAAAAATTGTATTTGTTCTTCATTTTTCGTAATTTTACAATTAAATTCTTCTATCAGTTTAACATGACATGAATGTTTTTTTTTAAGTTCTCCTACTTGTTCATAATAGTCATGCTCATTTATTAACATTTTAACTGCCATTTTTCTTTTTTGTTCAATGGTAACACGATTGTCAAAAATAGAAAATGTTCCACATTCATCAATATATTTTCATTTAATATATATGTATAAAAAAATATACATACAATTGTCATAAAGTGTATTCCATAACTTATAAGTGTAATTTAGAAAATAATTTGTATTTTTTACCAACTTTATTAATAATCAAATCATAATCTAAACCATATAGAATCTTTTTTTCATTTTCCATCAACATGAATGGTTCTCAAACGGTTTTTTTCATATTTTAAAGTAGAAAATGACCTTTCACAGTCCACTAGGGTTACCAGCAAAGTTAGTAAGTACTTTGCATAGATAAGCATTAGAGTAAAGATAATACTTAATCAATGCATTATAACAACAGATGCTACAGTTTTTACATGGCTTACATAGTTTTGATGTGTCTTTATCCTCATCTTCATTTTCTGTGTCACTATTTAAGTACAGTTCTTCAACTTATTTATCATCAAATTTGTTTGATTAAAGTTAAATATATTGTTGTTATTCTTTTTTAGATTTCAAAATAAATGCATTTTGAGTATAATTTCAATTTATTTTATTGTGTTTAAATATTATTTACAAATTTTAATTTGTAGGTTGTATCTAAAGAAAAATAATACATTTTTTATCTTATTGAAATGATGTTTTCTGTTTTTTTTTTTAAACATTTTATGGTACATTGATGCATACCTATTATGTTTTAAATTTAATATTATATTTTATTTAGAAAGACATTAAATATATGTTTGAATAGTACCTATACATATATTTATAATTATATTAAATTTAATTCTCATATTAAACATGACATTTTTTTTTGGCTAAGTTAGTAGTTATAACAAATACTGTACCTCTATAAAATTAATTGCAAGGCCATGTCTAAGAAATATGTGTTTATATTGTAAGTGTTAACTAGAGATGTTACGAACTCTTGATTATTAAGGTCGAACCAAACCGAACCTACACATTTTATTCAAATTGAACCGAAACAAACTTTTAAAATATTTTATCAAACTCGAACATTAAAAGAGTAAAAACGTTAAGTTAGGTCAAATAATTTAAAAATTGTAAAATAATAATATTATAATATTATGCGAAACACCCGCGAGTTCGGTTCGGTTTGAAAATCGAATAGTTTGCCACATCTGTAATATAAACATATAAAACATTTTTTCAAAAGCTAAAAATGATTTTAATAAAATTGTTGAAATTTAAGAAAACTCTAGTAGGTGCTCAAATATGAAATTTCGAAGGAAGACGGCTAATTTGTCTGTAGAACAAAGATGGCCAATGGTCAGAGCGGGCCTAACAATATCTCTATCAAATTCATACCTAAAATGTATAATATATTATAGATACCTGTACTATATCCATTAGGGTGGTCCTTATTTTTTAAACTTAATTATATTCAGTCCATACCCCCTAAATTTGTTAAGTCAAATAAGAAAAAAAAATCGGAAGGCATTTACGTAGTCTATTCACAAATTAATCAAAATGAATAATAAGGTAATAATAATTTTAAATCAAGTATATCTTTATTATTTGTAAATCGGTTTTCCATACTTTGTATAATTGTATCAAATACTCTATTATATATAAATTAACAGTAAACTTTTTTTCAACTTTCATAATAGTATCATCAGTAGCTTCATAACTTGACATTTTTTCTTTTTAGAAATATGTTTAATTTCAAATTGACTTTGAACTACTTTGATTTTCAAATCTTTA